CTGTCAATATTCTAGATCATTCTGACACAAGCTTCCCAGAATCAGTTTATAAAGATAGTCTGTCCTATTTTTCCATCTATACGTGAGCTGAATATCAAATCACATGAAAAATTCTGTGACAACATCCAGAAGACCTTACTTAGTAAATGAAATCAATGTCACCTCTTTGGAGGAAAAGACTCAATACTGTAAAGATGCCACTTCTTTCCAAATTAATACATAAATTTAATGAAAACCTGTACAAAACCTTTGTTTTATTTTTTTGTAGTTGTTTTATAGCTTGACATACTGACTCTGAATTTCATCTCAGAAATTAACTCTGTGAAGTACACAATGATGAGGAAAAAAGAATGGAAAGTATCCTGCACCGTGAGCCTTTAGTAATGAAAGTGTAGCCGCGCTGGAGGAATAGCAATGGCAAGTGCATCAGTGAAAGCGTATGAACTTGTGGATATGAGAATTTACTGTGTAACAAACGGGACACTTAAAATCAGTGAGGAAAGGTTTGATTACTTACGAAATGACTACCGGTTTGGAAACAAAGAGAAATCGTGTCTCCTGTATTACTTGACACAAAAAATAATTTTCAGTAACATTATATATGGAAAGAAGCTACAAAATACTAAAAGAGTAAAATGATGAGAGAGATGAAATAATCAAGTTTTCTATTAAGTTATCATAGAACTACCATTTTCTCCCTTACTCCCAACAACCAGGTGGATAATCATAATTTTACCTCTCAGTTCAGTGGAATAATCGGCATGCCTCCTGGTGAAAGCAGACCCCTGAGTAAGGTTACAGGGACAGAAAACAAAACATTGCTAGTGGGCCAATGAGGGAAACAGTAAGTGGGGCCACTGCGATTTTCACTCCACTGCGGCTGGGAATTGGCCTGCAGTCTCGGTGAGAGAAGCGATTGTGAGCGGGCAGTGGCTGCCTATGGAGGAATAGGATCTTCAGTGTTCGGAGTGATTCTTTTGAGGCAGCTATTGAAGTTTCTAGCATCCAGTCCCCAGGACGCTAAGTGGTAGTAACAGGTTTCCTTAAACGGTACTGTGTTCAAGTCCTGTTCAGGAACAGTTTGAGCCTTTATCAGCATCCCTGTGGCATATCTGGGCCTTTGTTCTTCCTACTTTCTTCTGGGTTATGCAGCCTGTAAGCCTGATTCTCTTGAAAATTCTTCAAATTACAAAATATCCTTTATTAAAACCCTTGCTGCTATAATATATAGGATGGATTTTATCTGCATTTTTTTTCTATTTTCCCAAAAAAGAGACATAAAAAATAAATTGTATAAAAATACAACGCAGTGGAAGAATGGGCTTCACATATTGTGCGGAAGCACAGTCCCATGTAAACTACCCCATACAAATACATGTATCACCAAAACCGTAACAAGCCTCCTAGTCATGGATATGCTCCTTTAGTATTAAGAAAAGCCTGGAAGGCTTTTGATACTGGCACTTCAGATGAGTGTGGACTTTTTCTTTTCTTTTAAAACCTTTACAGTATACTCCTGGTTTTTGGTAAAATACATTATATAAATTTGGAAGAAAGCTTTCAAGGCTTGCAAAGAGGAATATGAATACATGGGCAAAAAATGAAAAAGAATCATGTCTTAACATTTATTATAACTCAAAAAATATTATAAGTTGCAATGAAACCAGTACTGTGATCATAACTGGTTTTTTAAATTTTATTTTTCAATTTCAGTTTACATTCAATATTATTTTGTATTGGTTTCAGGTGTATAGCATAGTGGTTAGACAATCATATACTTTACAAAGTGTTCCCCCCGATATTTCCAGTACCCACCTGGCATCATACAGTTATTACACTATTATTGACTATATTTCTTGTGCTGTACTTCACATTTCCATGACTGTTTTGTAACTACCAATTGTACTTCTTAATCCCTTCACCTTTTTCAGCCATTCTCCAAACCCCCTCCCCTCTGGCAACCATCAATCTGTTCTGTGTCCGAGTTTGTTTCAATTTTGTTTATGTTTATTTTGTTCTTTAGATTCCACATGTAAGTGAAATCATATTCTCTGACTGACTTACTTTACTTAGCATAATACCTGCTAGGTCCATCCATGCTGTCACAAATGGTAAGATTTTTCATGGCCCAGTAATATTCCATTGTATGTATATGTTACAGCTTTTTTAATCCACTCATTTATTGATGGCACTTGGGTTCTTCCGTATCTTAGCTATTGTAAATAATATGACAGAATTTAGTAATCATTTCTCCCTTTTAAAAAAAGATTGAGCCCAGCTAGGCGTGGCTCAGCAGTTGAGCATCCACCTAGGATCCAGGAGATCGCAGTTTGATTCCTGGTCAGGGCACATGCCGGGGTGGCGGGCTCCATCCCCAGTGTGGGGTGTCAGGAGGCAGCGGGTCAATGACTCTCATCATTGATGTTTCTCCCTCTCTCCCTCTCCCTTCCTCTCTCTGAAATCAATAAAGACATTTTTTAAAAAGATTGAAATTTTGTTATAAATTGTTCACTAATGAGCCTGATATTTAACTATGACTCACTTAATACATGTTTACAGTAAACTTAATTAAAATACGTATTATTTTCTGAGGTGTAGTGCAAAAGTGGAATCTGCTAGATGTTTATTCCATATGTTGAGGATGTCTAATGATCATGGGGTATAAGTGGGCAACTGCAGTGATTTCACAGTAGTTGAGTATGTATATGCTGTAAGTTTCTTGTTTGCTACTTTTAGTGGTAAGTTATTTTAGTGTCAAGTTTTCAGTGTGTAAACACCATATTCACATATTACATTTTCACATAATCGGAAAAGTCAAGTCACTTTATTCTGGATTTTAAAAATCCTATAATTTTTCTAAGAGGCTGCTAGATTTGCTTGGTATTTTAATTGGACTGGTCATATACCAGGAGTACAACAGGTTATTTTTTATAGCTGATTTGGATGCCGTCCATATCCACATTTGGTCACAGGGTTATGCTAGCCTCATAACTGTGACTCTTTATATATTGAAGACTTAGAAGATTTTGTCTGTAAGATACTCTGGTACGAGAGGAATAAAATAGCAATGGTGTAGTTCTTTAATCGGTTTTTTCTTGGTTCTTTATTCAGGAAAATAATACTTTTCTAGGATTTCACACAACTGTAAAAAGCTGAATATAAACAGACACACTGCAAAAAACTGAAATAAAATATACTCTATAAACACACATTTCCTACATCTTAACAAATCACAGTTGAATATGTATTTATAGAGAGAGGCATATTGTGGTTTGCTTTATTGCACATCACAGATGTTGCGTTTTTTACAAATTGAAGGCAAGACTCTCCAAAAGCAAAAAGATTATGACTCACTTTAATGCCATTCTCACTATATTGTGGTGGTCTGAAACCAAACCTGTAATGTGTCTGAGGTATGTATTTATATGTTTAAAAAATATTTAAGAAAATAGTGCTTTTCCACAATTTGTTATACTATAAAAAGATGAATATAAACAGTTTCATCTTACTAAATAAAGTTGAATAAATACATGTGTGTATATATTTATAAAAATATTTTTCCCAGGACTCAGGTATATTATAAAAAGTTGAGTATAAACTTATAACAGATAAGCACAGTGTTTCTTATTTCACACAAGTCCAGGAACAAGGCAGTTCTGAATTGTTTCAAGGACACAGGTAATTCCGATGTATCCCCTGTGCCAGTCTCAGTCTTTCGCCCCTCTGGTTGCAAAATGGCCACCATTCCAGGTAACACAGAGACATATAGACATGCATCCTACATACAAGACGACCATTTCCTCCTCTTTTGTTAGGAAAGAAAATTTAACTGAAACTCACTCACAGATTTTGCTCAGCTCTTCTATGGCCAGGGCTGTTCCCTACATGCCTAGATGCAAAGCAAGTTGGTGAGCAAGCGTCTGGCACCTAGACCTAAGTGGTGGCAGGTAATCTTGGCAAAGGGAGTAGTTAATGCCAATGAGCAGGCAACCAACGTCAGCCACAGTAATACTGCCTTATTTCTTTCAATCTCTACTTTTGTAGTTACATATCCTCTCTCATTCATGAGTTTTTTTCTTTTTAGGGTACAATGTTTTTCATTTCAAAAAATGTTTTCAAGGATTTTTCTTTTTTTAGGCTCTACATTTATTTTGTTAGGACTTTTCAACATACTAGAGTCAAATGCTTATTCATTCTCTCTCGCATTCCTTTGGCCAACAATGGTTACTGGGAACCTCCTAGGAGCAGGGAGTTCACCAAAGTACAGTTAAGTGAGAATGAATCCTGGCCTTAATTTCCCGTTTTCTACACATATTGAAAGTTAATTTTCCTCAAATATAGCTTTGGTATATCCTACAAATTTCAGCATGTAATCTTCTCTTGGTCATTCAATACTAATGATAATTTGCCTTGATTTTCTTCTTAATATAAACATTTATACAGGTATCTTTTCAATTTCCTTATAGAAAAAATGGATTTTGACTAAGGCTTTGTTATTTTCTAATTCACCAGAACAGAAGTCAGAGGGTATACCCTATGTCATTTTTTTTGAAAGGTTTTAATACATCATCCAGGTCTTCACCCTGACCTCGCAGCTACCCACCTTTTTTCTATTAAGGCTCTTTACATTAGGAATCCCCTGATAGGACAAAAAGGCAGGCTATGATAAAAGTTTCCATTTTAAATTTTCCTACAGAAGGAATTATCTAACATTCAATAAAGACATGATGTGCCCGGACAGCACGGCTCAGTGGTTGAGCGTCAACCTTTGATCCAGGAGATCGAGGTTCGATTCCCAGTCAGGGCACATGCCTGGGTTGTGGGCTCGATCCCCAGCAGGAGGTGTACAGGAGGCAGCCGATCAATGACTTATCATTGATGTTTCTCTCTCTCTCTCTCCCTCTCCCTTCCTTTCTGAAATCAATAAAAATATATATTTTTTAAAAAAAGACAGACATGACATAAGATGTTCATATCGTCACTGAACCCAAGAGTTCCTCTAGTATAATCTCTAATAATACATAATTATGAAAATTTTAAAAATTAATAATAAAGGCAGCTCTTATCTAACAGACTTTCAAAACAATCCAGACACTATTCTATAGGATATAACATTTAATCTTCACAATGCTACTGCTGTGCTAATATTACTAATTTATAAATGAGAAAATTTAGACAAAATAACTTGCCCTATAGGAAACGAGTTATGGTGGTGAAGGCAAATAAAGGCTAAATATTGGCTAACTCTTCCATTCCTGTTCAGTTCAAGTTACCTTTGGAGAATGACTTTGCAAATATGAACAAGATTCGGGCAGGATAAACTAATTTGCTATAATTTTAATATTAATATAGCCTTCCTTAAGTATGACTTATCAGATGAATAACTTGTTAGCCAAAGCAAATTGGTGTCCCATATATATGCCATTTCCTCTAAGGGCTAATGAAGCCGATGTTGAGAAAGGTTTGAATGACTAATAATGTCTCTAACACATTTGCCGCCATTCTAAGCCTTCCCACTTTCCTTATATTCATGGAGTTTTTCACTTTTTCACCAACTGAACTCTGATATCAAATGAATTTTGAAACACAAATAAACCCTCCCAATTCCTAACATTAATAAGGTCTCTCATCAGTAACAAATGCTCAATAAATTCCGGCCTTTAAATAAAGACTTTACATCCACAGTATAAACTCTGATATCAAGTTATTATCCTCAAATGCTTTCCCACATTCCTTATAACCACAGGGGTTTTGTTTGTTTCTGTTACTAGTATGAACTGCAGATGTCAATTAAATTCTGAACCTTCCCATGTGTCTTCATTCATTCCTCTGTCGTGTATGAATTTTTTGATGTTTACTAAGGTGTGAGCCACGAATAAAGGCCTTCCCACATTGCTTACATTCATAAGGTTTCTCACCAGTGTGAATTTTCTGGTGTCGACTGAGTTCTGAGCCACGACCAAAGGCCTTCCCACACTCCTTACACTCATAGGGCTTTTCACCATTATGACTTCTCTCATGGTAAGTTAGTTCTGACCTTCGAATAAAAGCCTTCCCACATTCCTTACATTTATGGGGTCTCTCACCAGTGTGAATTTTTTGATGTCGAATAAGTTCTGTGCTACAAGTAAAGGCCATTCCACAGTCCCTACATTTATAGGGCTTCTCACCAGCGTGAGCTCTCTGGTGTCGAGTAAGCTCTGCGCCACGCCGAAAGGCCTTCCCACATTCCTTACATTTATAGGGCTTCTCACCAGTGTGAACACTCTGATGTCGAATAAGATGTGAGTCAGAGATAAAACCTTTCCCACACTCCTTACACTTATGAGGTTTCTCACCAGTATGAATCCTCTGATGAAGACTCAGTTGTGAGGCACAACTATATGCCTTTCCACATTCCTTACACTCATAGCGCCTTTCACCAGTATGAATTAATTGATGAAGACTAAGTTGTGTGTCATAACGAAAAGCTTTCCCACATTCCTTACATTTATGGGGTTTCTCACCAGTATGGATTCTCTGATGTCGTAAAAGGTGTGAGGGACGGGTGAAAGCTTTTCCACATTCCTTACATTCATAGTATTTCTCATCTGTATGAATTCTCTGATGTAAATTAAGTTGTGCGGTAGATGGAAAGGCCTTCTCACACTCCTTACATTTATAGGGTTTCTCACCAATATGAATCCTTTGATGTTTCATAAGCTGTGAGCTAGAATGAAAGGCTTTCCCACATTCCTTACATTTATGAGCTTTCTCACCAGCATTAGTGCTCTGAGGTTTAGTACTTTCAGAGCCACGAGTGAAGGCACATTTCTCATTTTCATTACTTTTCTTTCTTTCATGAATTCTCTGATGCTTAATCAAGTCTGATTTACTATTACAGGCTTTCCCACATTCTCCACATGTAGAGCTTTTTTCCTTATTATGGCTACTTTCATGTTGAAGGTGGTATGATTGGTACCTGTAAGGTTCCTTACATTCCTTGTACTCACATGATTTCACTCCACTATGAATATTCTGAGGTACTCTGTTAACTGTGCACTGAATAGAAGCAGATGTTTCTTCAGAGGTTATTATCACTGGTCTGAAATGTCCATCCTGTTGTTTCTCCAAGTTGCATTTGATTTCACTATTATCTCCAACCCTAGTGCACTCAAGGTTAGAGTTCATAAGTCTTTTTGTTATCTCTGGTTGCAATGATTTAATTTCATAACTGCTTTCCTTTGGAGATAAATTCCTGGTTTCTCTTCTGGACTCCCAATCTGTAAGATTACAAGAAAGAAAACAGAGGTGTTTTATTTCATGTTGCAGGAAAAAGGAAAGTTCTAAGGTAGAAATGACAAATTAAAAATAGCAAATAAATAGCTATTAACATTGCATTGCAATTTTAAAAAAACGGTGGGGGAAAGAAGTTATTCTTTGGAGAAGTATCAATTTAGGTTCTTTGCCCATTTTTTAATTCGGTTGTCTTTCGTTACGTTGTATGAGTTCTTTATATATTTTAGAAATTAACCCCTTATCAGATGTATCATTGGCAAATATGTTCTCCCACAAAGTGAGATCCCTTTTCATTTTATTGACGGTTTTTTTGCTATCCAGAAGCTTTTTATTTTGATGTAGTCCCATTTAACTTTTCCTTTGTTTCTCTTGCCTTAGGAGATGTATCAGCAAACATATTGCTACAAGAGATGTCTGAGATTTTGCTGCCTATGGTTTCTTCTAGGATTTTTATGGTTTCATGACTCACATTTAAGTCTTTTTTGATGTTGAGTTTATTCTTTTGTATGGTGTAAGCTTGTGATCTAGTTTCATTTTTTTTGCATGTCCAATTATCCCAATACCATTTACCGAAGAGACTATCTTTACTCCATTGTACGCTTGTGCCTCCTTTGTCAAAAATGAAGATAGGCAAATAGAGAGACTATCTAGTCAGTGGTACAGAAAGGAACATAAAACAAAAAATAAAACAAAAACAGAGCCTCTGAGACCTGAGGAATATTGTCGTGTAGAAATATATGTGCAAAGAGAGTACTTGAATGAGAACAGGAAAGGGGTAAAAATACATTTGAAGAAATAATTTCCAACAATTTCCCAAATCTTGATTAAAAAAACATTAATATACATATCTAAGAGGTTGAACAAACTCCAAGTTGAATAAACTTTGCTGTAAACTTGGAATAAACTTGATCAAGACCTACACACATCATAGTCAACTGATGAAAGTCAAAGACAAAATCTTGAAAGCATCAAGAGAGAAGTAACTTATCCTACATACAGGACCCTCAGTAAGACTGGCAGCTGCTTTATCAACAGAAACCATGAGAACATAAAGCAGTTAAGTGACATGTTTGGTATTAGGAAAAAGGGCTGTCAGTCAAGAATTTTATATCCAGCAAACTATCCTTTATAAATAAAAGAGAAATTAAGATATTCTCAGAATATTTTTAAAACAAAGCAATTTTATCACTAGCAGATCTGCCCTACAAGAAATACTAAAGGGAGTTGTTTAGACTGAAATAAAAAGACAAAAGAAAATTTGAATCCACAGAGAAATAAAGAGCACTATTACAAGTAACTATGTAGGAAAATATAAGATTATATAAAAGTATTTTTTGTTTGTAACTCTGCTTCTTCTATTTGATTTAAGAGATAACTACATAAAACAATAATTATAAAAATGTGTTGATGGTATACTAGTTTCCTATTTCTGATATAACATATTACCATAAACATAGTGGCTTAAAATAACCCAAATTTATTATCTTACAGCTCTGAAGGTCAGAAGTCTGAAGGTTTAATAGGTTAAAATAAATGTGTTTGCAGCAAGACTGTGTTCCCTTCTGTAGGCTCTAAGGAAGAATCTATTTTCTTGCCTTTTCCAACTCCTAAACACTGCTCATTCCTTAGCACATCATGGCCCTGCCTTCCACCAACTTCAAAGTCAGCATATTGCATCTCTCTATGCATTTCTTATCATACCTCTGATTCTTTCAAGGACTCTTGTGATTGCCTTGAGCCCACATGAATAATCTAAGATAATTTCCCTAATTTAAGGCCAGCTGATTCACAACCTTAATTCCTCTTTGCCTTATAAGGGCAACATATTCACAGGTTCCAGGGATTAGGATGTGGGTATCTTTAGGGGAGTCATTATTCTGCTTACCAATATTTACTTATAATGTATTAAAGTGTAATTTGTATGATGACAATTGTACAAAGAAGAAAAGGAGGGAACAGGAGTATATTAGAACATAGTTTTTTAAATAAGATTAAAGTTAAATTAGTATTAATCCAAACTAAATTGTTTTAAGATAAGATATAATTGAAATTTTCAGGGCAACTACTAAGAAAATAACTCTAAAAACAGTAGTAAAAGAAACAATCTTAAAACTAAAATGGGACTCTAGAAAATGTCTATTTGACATAAGTTATAGTAATGGAAGAATAAAGTGTAAAACAAAAATAACATATGTAGAAAACAAATACCATGTCAGACACAAATCCCACTCTATCAATAATTACATTAGCCCGGCCGGGCGTGGCTCAGCGGTTGAGCGTCGACCTAGGATCCAGGCGATCGGGGTTTGATTCCCGGTCAGGGCACATGCCCGGGTTGTGGGCTCGATCAATGATTCTCGTCATTGATGTTTCTATCTCTCTCTCTCCCACTCCTTTCCTCTCTCTGTAATCAATAGATATATTAAAAAAATAAATAAATAAATAAAATAATTACATTAAATGTAAAAATATTAAATATTCAAACAGATGGCAGATATAGACAGGATGTATTAAAAAGCATGATCCAAGTACATGCTATCTACAAGAGACATACTAAATTCAGGATACAAAAAGATTAAAAGAAAAGAATGGAAAAAGATATACCATGCAAAGACTAACCAAAAGTGAGCTTCAATAGCTATACTATTATCAGACAAAAATTGTAATAGAGACAAAAAAGGACATTTTATAATAAGAGGGGCAATCTCAGGAAATTATAAGTCACAAGCATACATGCACCTAATTACAGAGCCCCAAAATCCATGAAGCAAACACTAACAGAAATGAAGAGAAAAACAGGCAATTCGACAATTCAATGCTCTACTTTCAATGACGTATAGATCAACTAGCCAGAACATCAACAAGGAAAGAGAAAACAGCATACTCTTAAATAACTAAAGGGTCAAAGGAGAAATCACAAAAGAAATTGGAAAATACTTTTGAGTTGGACGAAAGGAAAACTCAACATACCCAAACATGGAATACAGTTAAAGCAGGTCTTAAAGGGAAATTAACAGCTTAAAATGTCTATATTTAAAAACGAAACAAAACAAGAAAGATCTCAAATCAATAAACTAATTTCACACTTTAAGGAACTAGATAAAAGAGAGAAAACTAAAACCAAAGATACCAGAAGGAAATAATAAAGAATAGAGGAGAAATGATCAAAATAGATAAAGAAAAACAGAAAAAAATCAATGTAACTGTAAGTTGATTCTTTGAAAAAATCAACAAAACCAACAAATCTTTAGCTAGCTTGACCAAGAAAAAAAGAGAGAAGACCCATACTAAAACCAGGAAAGAAAGGGGAGATGTCACTACCAACCTTACTGAAATAAAGAGGATTATAAGTAGATTGGTGGTTACCTAGGTCTGGGTGTGGGGAGTGACTACTAACAGGTATGAGGTTTCATTTGGGTGACAGAAATGTTCTACAGTTATATTGTGCCAGTTTCAGAACTCTGAATAAACTAAAAATCAATGAACTGTACTTTAAATAAATGAATTTTACAGTAAGTGAATTATATCTCAATAGAGCTGCTTTAAAATGTCAGGTTAGCCTTGGCCAGTGTGGCTTAGTGGATTGCCGTGTGGTGCATGGCACTGGAGGGTCGAGGGTTTGATTCCCGGTCAGGGCGCATACCCAGGTTGCAGGTTCGATCCCCAGTCTGGGTGTGTAGGGGAGGCAACCAATCAATGTTGCTCTCTCACACTGATGTTTCTGTCTCTTTCCCTTTCCCTTTCTCTCTCTCTCAAATCAACAATAAAAAGAATCCTTGGGTGGGGATTAAAAAAATAATAAAATAAAATTTAATAAGACAAAACTGGTCCCAAAGCATAGGGAAAATGACTGTCTCCTGGGAAGGAGGAAGGCACCTCCCTCTTGAAATCAGAGGGAAATATGAGGAAAGACAGCAAGAGAGTATGAAGTGAAGTAAAACCCTGAGGCCTCATGCTGAAACATCCTTACTTTCTTTTCCAGACCTCAGACCTTTCATGGAGCTTTCCTCCCAACATCTCAGAATGCTGCCTTCTCATAGCCCAGCTGGATGTCCCAGCTGCCATGGCCTTCGCCACACGAGTCACCATCACTCACCTGCGCACCACTCTTTTGTCTCCTCACTTTCAACAATCCAGGGCTCCTTCCCCTGCTCCAATAAGGAGATCACATCTGGCTTAGAATCAGAAAGTCCTGCGCGGGTTAAAAAAAAAAGGGCCGAAGTTATGTTGTGGGTGTCCCAGAATTAAAGTCAATTCATGACTATCGAGAAAGAGTAAGTCGTTTAAGCACCGGTGAAGATCAGAGGAATGAAAAAGATAAAATTGCAAAAAGGGGTGGCCAATTTTTAACTTCACAAGAAACAACTGTTCTTTGGTAGACAAGAATCATTAATTCAGCCAGGCACTTGAAAAA